TTTCTATGCAGCTAGTTATACAGTGATCTGTGCTCATGGGGGCCAGATATAAGATCGGTAATTAAGATTCACATAATATGAAAGCTATTTCTAGTCCACTAACTATCCTACTAATATTTTGTAGTAGCTGCTAACAAGTTAGATATCTGATTGCTTTGAGTATCATTTCCTTACAGTGCCAGTGCGCCAGTGCAAAACAAAATGCCCAAAGGAAAAAGAGATAAAAGAGGAGAAATAACATTATCTCAAAACTATAGTCTCCTAAATAGAATAGTTCATATTTGTAAAATTAATTTTATTTGTGGCACAGAGTTGTAAATACAATGTTAAGATCACCATTTCTACACTGCTTAGTTTAGAAAAGAAAAGTTACCTCAGGGACATTAGTTTTGTCCTGAGTATAAGATTAATTATTAATAACTTAATGACCATGGAAATCATTTAAATCCTTTTTTATAATTACACATACATTGGAACTACCTGATGCCAAGAGAGCAGAATTTGAATTCTGAGCCTGTTTTGGACCTTATCGAAAAATATTTAACTAACGCTGTAGTACAAAATTTTTGTTTTAAAACAATCTTTTCTACAGGTTATCCTGTAATACAAGCCCTGAGGGCATTGAAGAGATTTGCACTTTACTTTTTGTTTTTAAATAAGTGTAGGGTTAAATTTCTAGTGCTTAAATTTCTCTAATGAGGAATATTATTTCCATTTTTGTCATTGCTGTTATTATTTTATATGTCTGGGTTTTCGGATTACACTTTTTTTTTTGTGAGGAAGATCAGCCCTGAGCTAACATCTATGCCAATCCTCCTCTTTTTTGCTGAGGAAGACTGGCCCTGGGCTAACATCCATGCCCATCTTTCTCCACTTGATGTGGGACACCGCCGCAGCATGGCCTGACAAGCAGTGCCTTGGTGCACACCCAGGATCCGAACCCGGGCTGCCAGCAGTGGAGCGCGAGCACTTAACCGCTATGCCGTGGGGCCGGCCCCTCAGATTACACTTTTTTTTAATATATATATAATTGTATTTATTTATTTATTTTCCCCCAAAGCCCCAGTAGATAGTTGTGTGTCATAGTTGCACATCCTTCTAGTTGCTGTATGTGGGGCGCAGCCTCAGCATGGCCGGAGAAGCGGTGTGTCGGTGGGCGCCCAGGATCCGAACCTGGACCGCCAGCAGCGGAGCTCGTGCACTTAACCGCTAAGCCACGGGGCCGGCCCTCAGATTACGCTTTTAAGTGTTTTTATTTCGCTAGTCAAAAGGAAAGTTAGGCTGCACTACCCCCCGGTATGGAGCTAGCGATAGACACAGTTAACACAAAAAGATAAGCATACATTTCTAGTCTGTTTTCCCCCTAATTTAAAGTAGGAAAACACCAATGCTAACCAATGTTAAATGCAGTATTTTTGAGATTGAAGCATGTAAACCAAGATTGAAAAAAAGAGATTTGGGTAGCATTTGGTACTTTTCTCACTACTCATTAACATTACTAATCACAACTTAATCTGACCTTTAATCTTATCCTTTCAGTATTGATTTTAAAGTTCCATTCTAACCTATTCTAAATTCTTACCCTGATTCGGACCCTCTTGGGTCTGACGTATGTCTCTGGGGTTGAGACAACTTGGTAACAAACACTCAAAAGTTTTTCTCTCCACTGCCGACTAGAGTGTGTGGCCTCTCTGCAGTGGGCCATCTCGCTTTACCAGCAGGTTTCTTTATTTAAAAACACTGTTCCTCTTAATCTTCCTAGCTTCTCCAGTCATTTTACACAACACAGAGACTTATAAGAGGGGAAGCTGAATATACCTTCACTGCTTCTCTTTCCTATTTCCTGAATTTAATTTTTTTCATCTCCTTTCAGCATAAATTAAAGCTGGGAAGGGAAGGCAGACAGAATATCATGCAACTGTAGCTCCATACAGAGAATACAAAAGCCTTTGTTTTGTTTTGTTATGTTAGTGCTGTCAAATCAATTCTGACTCCTAGCAACCCTGCATACAGCAGAACGAAACCCTCCCTGGTCTTTTTTGCACCATCCTCTCACCTTCTGAGACTGTATCAGACAATGCTCCACTGGTGTTACAGGGTTTTCATGGCCGATTTTTTCAGAAGTGGGTGGCCAGGTCCTTCTTCCTTATCTGTCTTAGTCTGAAAGCTCTGCTGAAACCCGTCCACCATGGTGTCCATGCTGGCATTTGAAATATTGGTGGCATAGCTTTCAGCATCACAGCAACACACAGCAACCGAAGTATGACAACCGACAGACAGGTGGGTGTGGTTCCTTGACTGGGAAAGGAACCCTGGGCCTTGGCGCTCACTGAATCTTAACTGCTAGGGCTGGCTAGTGGTTAAGCCGGGGCGAGCTGCAAAAGTCTACCACTGGTCTTTTGCTAGGTCCCCACTTCCTTTGTATTCTTTTTCTTGAGGACCAGTGGCCTTTGGCTGAATGAAATCCCACAGCCCACTTAAGCCTGTGGGAAAAGAAAAGGCTTTCTCCACTCCTCCTTAGTCTGATTCTATCTCCCTCTCTTTTCTGCATCCCAAGTTAAGTTTTTCTTATCCCACACTTGACCAGAGTAAAGAGTTATAACAGCTTTATCCACTGGTCCAGAGTTTTTCTTACTTTTTTAACAGGTCCCCTTTCTAGACTGTCTGTGGCAATGCAAAACGTAAACCCGTTCAAGTGCAGTGCAACAGTGGAAGGGGATTTCAGGATGGAAACTAAGTAAATAGGGAATTGTAAATTGTAAATAGGGAAAATATATTTTAGTCATTGGTGATCAAAGCAAGGCTTAAAATATCAATTCCTTAAGGCATTCCATGATATCATTCTTCTTTTTAATCAACAAAGACCCTCTTGCTTGGATTTTGTCCTGCTCTATGATGCTTGCTTTCTCCTTTATATAGCCATTCTCTTAGTTCTAGTCTTCTTTTGATCCTAGAGAAAGGAAATTCTCTCTTGAGTGGACCTCAAACCCTCTTTGGGTCTTTGCTATCTCTTGCAGCCTCCTTTCTTGCTGAATTGGGGCAGACTCTGTACTTCTGCCTTTGTCCTTAAATGCATTTTTTCATCTTTTTCCATCTTGCCCACATTGGGAAAACTTGGATTTCTCTGTGGTCGTAGGTTTTTCTGATCTCTCCCCTCTCCCGTCTTGCTTCTAGCTCTTCTAGTCACTCTGCTCTTCTCTAATAAATCCTTTTTAACTACCCATAGTTGTATCCTTTCATGTTCTTCCCACCCAGAAAATCTTGAGACTGGCTGAATTTCATTCCTCCCCAACAATACAGTCTGTGTCATGCATTTGCATTTTTTTCAGCATCATGATCTTGTCCTATGTACCTCTGTGGTCTACTGTTACTTTATTTAAAATGCTCAGGCCCTCTATATACTTTTAATACATGAGCCATAAGAAAGTGACACTTTTTGAAAGAGACTATCTTATTTGCCCCATATCTTAGTGCAATGCCAACCATATAGTCGAGCTTAATCTGTTGAAGAGATGAATGGCTTTTTTTTTTAATTGAATTAATTTGACACATAACATTGTGTAAATTTAAGGTGTACAATGTGTTACTTTGATAGAATTATATATTGTAATGTGATTGTCATTGTAGCAATATTTATCACGTTACATAATGAATACAGACAACAATTTATACTATAATATACTGTGCATTAGATCTCTATAGCTTATTTACTTCTTGTGGCAAGTTTGTACCCTTAAACAACATCAGTTTTATCTCCCCACCCCCTAAGACAAATGGATTTTGAGTTTTACTCCCAGGGTGTACATATCAAAAAAATTAAGACAATTGTTAGTTCTTTCTCCTTGTCTAGTTCCTAATTTTATTTAATTGAAAAACAGAGACTCATTGTTGTCACTTACCTCTTGCCACTAATTTGAAAGCTTCTGATTATGTATAAGATATATTTTTAGTCTTAACGTCAATAGAAACTAAATTTTATCTTTTTGGTGACAAATCTCCATTGTTAAAATAGAGTAAGCCTAACTATGTGAGACTGGAATTTATGCAATAATTTAGTTCTAAGTTTTGAAATACGTTTTATTATTTTTGAAGTGACTCCCTAGATTATAGTTATTCCAGTTGACGCACAAGAGATTGTTCTCTGGCAGTTTTCACCCAGCCTGCTGATGCTTTATTTATCAGGTGGGCTGCTGCAGTTATATATATATTTTCTCCAACAAGTTCCTGATGTTTTATCAAAATAAAGTGTTTCTAAAAAAAATTAAAGGTTTAATCGACTGAAATGAAAGAATATAAGTTGCATGTTTTCAATAAAAAGGTAATTTTTTACAAATGAACACATCCCTGGATGGTTAACACTGGGAGAGAGTTTGTACGTTCCCTTAGTGCCGTGGCTCACTTCATTTAATAGGAAAAGAAACAAGTTCAAGGAGGTCACACAGAATTGGGAGGAGAAACGGCCTCCTGTCACTGCCATGTTCTTTCCTTTGTACCAAAGCTTCCCAAACTTTTCAGTTCCTAGAGAACCTGTTCTGTGATCTGCCAGCCTCTCAACCCTCTGCCTGCCCCTAAAAACCCCAATTTTGAAAGATGTTACCTGCCAAACTGCATCTGTTAGATAAACTTACTGTATTTGGGGGAATTAAAAACAAAAGAACTGCAAGTTGGACTTTCTGATCAGTCAAGGTAACCAGTAGCCACACTGAATTGATAGAATTTTGGCAAAGAAAGGCTTTTTGGGGGGAAATGGGCACATTACATAAAGCTCTAGGAAATAATGAAAATGGTTTTCAGATTGGCAGTAATACCTTCTTATAGCCTTAAAGATCTGAGGAGCCGTGGGAGCAATGAGAACCCTAGGTTCCGAACCACTACTCTTTAACCTGCTGCCTTGCAATTTAAAATCTAATGGTTATTTGGATGGCTAAAAAGAGAATGCCTGTGTTTCAGAGTGAGCATGTTGAACTGATGCCTTTATTTCTTTTGCTTTTTGCACATAGATTGAATATGAAAGGAAAAAGAAAGAAGATGGAAAACGAGCTCGAGCTGATAAACAACATGTTTTAGACATGCTGTTTTCGGCTTTTGAGAAGCATCAGTATTATAATCTTAAGGACCTGGTAGACATCACAAAACAGCCTGTGGTATGTATATGCTCTCACTGACCCTTTAAATATGTCCCGCTTCATTAACATTGCCTCACTGAAGAGAAGTATATCATATACCATCAGCGTCGCTTTACAATGGGGATACGTTCTGAGAAATGCCTTGTTAGGCAATTTTGTTGTTCGAACATTATAGAATGTACTTACACAAACCTAGATGGTATAGCCTACTACACACCTAGGCTGTGTGGTGCTAATCTTACGGGACCACATTGTATATGTGGTCCATCATTGACCGAAACATCGTTATGCAGCACGTGACCATGTGAATAAGTTAACATGTACCTCTGCTAGTGTCAGGTTTTATTTCCACGCTCAGAAAAGATGTTTTAATACAGCCTTTTTTTTTTGTAACATCGATTTCATTATTTTAGATTTCAAATACATTTAATATTAATGGTTCCATATGAAGAAAAGGTGGATTTATCCTCCTTTTGACTGATCCTTGACTTTAAGCCTGAAGTCTTTGTTTATATCATTTCTAGTCTTTCTTTTGTTTCCCTAGCTCCTTCTAAAAAAGCTCAACTCCATTTTTTTTTTAAATATGCCTCATAGAAGAATCACATTCTTTTAAGAGTTGTACTGGTCTGTCACAGTAAGAGTGTTTATCCCTGTCTTGTGGGCTATTGTCTAATGAATTTTTTTTTAATCAGAATCTGCCCTAGCACTGGCATTAGGTCCTTTTAAACTTGAGCTGTACTGCCTCACAATGCTTGTTGAGATTGTGGTTGGGTTGGCCTATTCTTCATTTTTTAAGGAAAAATTTAATAAATTGATGTTTTAGAAAGTTTATGTTTGTTCTATAAATAATCATTTTTGATTACTTCACCATACTTTTGTGCCTGTTTGCTAGTAATTTGTATTTCAAATGCTGATAACAAGTAAGGGATGCAGATCCTTTCGCCAGCCTTTGAGTCACATTCCTTCCATTTAACTTTCTCACATCTAATGTTAGCAAAGTATCAAATTGGTTTATAAAAGTATTTACTTACAGGTTTTAAAAAATTAAATGGAAAGCCTTTTATTTTCTGTCCTTTTATCTAGTTTTCTTTATCATTTTGTTCACTTTGCCGTATACTCAGGAATATGTTGATTCTAACTGCTCCATTTATTCGCTTCAGAATATGTAACAAGATGACCAGTTTTTAAGAACATTTTAACATAAGCAAATAACTGTTTATTAAAGGGTGTGGTATATGTTTTTTCTGATTTATTCAAAGCTTTAGGAAATGATTTGTGAAACTTCAGTATTGATTGCACAGTTTCCCACTTCTGCAGAGATTTCTTTAGTGTTACACTTTAACTTTTCACTTTTTCGTTAAGAAATTAATTTAGGGGCCGGCCCGGTGGCGCAGGCGGTTAAGTGGGTGAGCTCTGCTACGGCGGCTCTGGGTTCGCCGGTTCGGATCCCGGGCACGCACAGGCACCGTTGGTCAGGTCATGCTGTGGCAGCGTCCCATATAAAGTGGAGGAAGGTGGGCAAGGATGTTAGCCCAGGGCCAGTCTTCCTCAGCAAAAAAAGAGGAGGATTGGCAGATGTTAGCACAGGGCTGATCTCATACACACAAAAAAAGAAATTAATTTTAAATTCCAAAAGATCTAAATACTTTTTTCAAATAGAGAAAAGTGCTCATGCTACAGTGTTATCAACTCATCCTCGTGACTTCACTCCCTTCAGCATCAAAGCCTTAGAAACGGCATTTCAAGCCAGATAAATTTGAAATAGAATAATTCATTAGCTAGGCTGTGTTTCTTCTGGTTTTAATGAAGTTTTTCCTTGTGTTTTATATATATATGAAAAGGCTGTTTCAGAAGCTCTGATTACAAACGTTATATTCTCATGGAGTAACACACACACAAAAATTAGATATGGGAAAATAAGGATTTGTAGAAGGGCATTCGGATGACACTAAGGAAAGCAGTTTCTTTGCCTTAGCGTGATGATATGATATGATGGAATGATATGTTGTTTTTAAAGTTTATTTAGGGGCCGGCCCAGTGGCGCAGCAGTTAAATGCACGTGCTCCGCTTCGGCTGCCTGTGGGTTGGCAGGTTCGAATCCCTGGTGTGCACCATTGCACCTCTTGTTAAGCCATGCTGTGGTGGCATCCCATGTAAAGTAGAGGAAGATGGGCATGGATGTTAGCCCAGAGCCAATCTTCCTCAGCAAAAAAGAGGAGCCTTGGTATCGGATGTTAGCTCAGGGCTGATCTTCCTCACAAAAAAAATAATAAAGTTTATTTATTTTGCATCAAAGAAAAGGGATAAATAGTATTTCTCTCAATTTTGGTTCTTCAGATAATTTTTATGTATTGGTACTCAGTGAATCTCTTATAATAGAGCTTCTTTCAGTTCATGGACTTTAGGAGACCCAGTAATCTGAAGATGTGCAAAAATGTGTGAATTTTTCTGGAGATCAGATCGACAGTTTATATCAGATTCTCATCGAGGGCCTAGGAACCTCAAAGAGCTTGAGAACCACTGATTAGAAGTTGAATTATGTTATAATAGTTTTATTATTTAGAGACTAAATTGCCTTGACAAGCATAAGGTTCTTGAAGGCAGGGTTGTATATTATTCACATCCCTAAATATTTATACACTCTACAACACAAACATAGTAGAAATTCAGTAAATATTATATGAATTGATTTGAAAAAAAGGAAGTGGTCGCATCGTCAGTGTCCAAGGGCCGCCATATTTTCCTCAAATGGATTTTGACAGGCCTCGTGTCACTTATGACAGTAGTGGGGGACAAAGAGCCAGTCTCAAGAAAGTGTGGAATGCCAGGGGCTACAGCTGTCCTTGCCTAGAAGAGAGGGCAGGAAGTGGTCAGCATGAGCTCCAGTCCTGCCATTTACCTGGGATCTGGAGAAGTCACTTCCATTCCTAAAATCAAGGGAGTTGGACTGGGCAATCTTTGTGATCCCTTCCAGCTGTAAATCTGTGATTCTCTCCCTCTCCTATTTTGTCATCTTCTGTCCACCTATCTCTCACATTTGAACCAAGTTGGCAAGGCCCATTGACCTAGAAAGAAAGTGGCGAAAGCGCAGCTCTCCATGTAGGTAACTATCCTCTTTAAGAGGCTCACAGGACATAAGTGAGTCTGTACTAATAGTCATCAGTACAGCCTTACTAATTTGGTTTTAATCTGAGCAATAATGAGAGAATAAAGGAACCCAGTGTAGCATAAAGATCAATGATCCAGGAAAGGGGCTTCCTGGTATGATGGAAACATTGTAGGCCCCTATGGCCTACTCCAACCAATTGCCGATGCAGTCAAACTATTCACTAAAGAACCCCTACAACCATCAACTTCATCAACATCCATATTTATCATCGCCCCGATTTTAGCTCTAACTTTAGCCCTAACAATATGAATCCCTCTACCAATGCCACACCCCCTAATCAACATAAATCTAGGAGTCCTGTTTATACTTGCTATATCAAGTCTAGCCGTCTATTCCATCCTATGATCAGGATGGGCTTCAAACTCAAAATATGCACTAATTGGAGCCCTACAAGCAGTAGCCCAAACAATCTCATATGAAGTAACCTTGGCAATTATTCTCCTCTCTGTGCTACTAATAAACGGATCATTTACATTATCCACATTAATCACTACCCAAGAACATCTATGACTAATTTTTCCATCATGCCCGCTAACCATAATGTGATTTATTTCAACATTAGCAGAAACCAACCGAGCTCCATTCGACCTAACAGAGAGAGAATCAGAATTAGTATCTGGCTTCAATGTCGAGTACGCAGCCGGCCCATTCGCCCTATTCTTTAGAAAGAACGCTGGATGTGGAGTAATGGAATCTCAGTTCAAGTCCAGCCCTGCCATTTAGCCAAATAGTCCTGGACAAGATACTTAAATATGTTTAATGTTTAATACATTATTTATTTAATGTTTGATTTACTTAACATATGACATACTTAATATAAAATTTACCAATATGTTCAAATTAAATGTTTTATAATATAAAATTATAATATGTAAATACGTTTTAAATAATACCTAGTTCACAGGATCCTTGTAAATAATTCTTTATGAAAGTTGCATTGTCAACTGCAAAGTATTTTACTAATATTTTTTAGTAGTATTATTATTAAACTGATTTTTGAGCCCTGTATAAAAGGGGAGAAAAGAGATCTTATTCATGTTGATCACCTCTTTAGTATATGCTTTAATGACATTCTCATTTTCTCATGGCCCCCAGTGCCACTTTTGATGACAAGCTTCTAACATGAACTGTATCACTCTAACAGTCCTCTTTGTCGTTAGCACTACTCCTATATTCTTAAGTTGCCGTCTGCTTTCTGACCTTTAGAATGTCATTTTTGACATATTCTGAGTGAATTTGAAGTATTTATTTTTCCAGTTCCTCTCTTTCTGTATTCTTCTTTCTAAAAACCTTCACTTCCACAAGCAAAATTACTGATTAGAGAAACTGTCCTTAGGGCCGGTCGGTCGTTTTCTCTCATTCACCAGTATGTGACTTGAATGAGCAATCCAAGAGTTACAGGTTACTCATCCAGGGCAAATAAGCCAATTTAAAAGGCCAAGCTCTGGTGACTGATGTAAAGTCAGAAGCACGGTATCCATTTAAAGGGATGTTTTCATACATTTTGAATTCTGGCTTTTTTTCCCATCTAAAGTGAAATATCAGAGGAAGCCTGTTATTTCTCCCCTGGCAGGCTTTGATCTTTCACCCTGAATGTGTTATGTCTAGTCTGTCTTTATATTTTATTATATCTGTAAGATAGAAGCATATACAGCATTTCCTTAAAAAACACAAACCATGGGAAACTTTATCTAATTGCTCCCTTTGAAACCCCAAACTGCCAAGACCATTTCGAGCCCTAACACACTGTTGTCTAACACAGCACCCATTTACCAGTGTTCCTGTTCTTATGTGTTGTCTTTATTCTTAGGCAAGATCTTGCCATCTGGTAGCCAAAACGGCCTCCTGA